CATGAATCTAGGGTCTGCCCATCTTGTCACATGTGTACCCCTATTCCCTCCCCTTCCTATCATGTGTACACCCCTAGCTCATCCCTTCCTGTTACGCTTATGCCCATTGTATAACCCCCTCCTATTGCTTGTATTGCCTATTGTACAACCCCTTCCTGTGAAGTATGTCTTTACCTGTAATTAAGGGGCATGCATGCCCCTAAAGATATATAAGCTGTGGTTAACAATAAATCACTCTCTCTTCCCTGCCCTCTCGTCCCGTGCTGTGCACGGACCTGGCTGTTGAGATCATGGCCACCCAGGAGATGAGCATGCTACCATGACATGTGTCTGACTTATTGATTTTACTCTCTCTCCTATCTCTCTCATTCTCTATGACTTTATTATAATCTTTATATATCTCAACCATACAATTGCACTTACTGAACCTGTGATTAGTTGTGGGGGGCTGGCTTCCTCCACAGGAGTTATATAATTGTCAACTTAAGGACTAAGCATGTAGCGGTGGAGTCGAGACTGTCCATCAGGTAATAGCCAATGAGGCTTCTGTGTGGGCATAGCCTTCCCCTAAGGATTCTGGGAATGCTGGTATTTCCTCCTTGGAGGTGGGAGACCCTCTGCTCACACCCTAGGAGACATAGCAGCTGACAAGACACATGGACCCACCCTGATGCAGAGACCCTTGCCAGCACTGAGATGTTTCCAATGCCACTGGATCCAAAGACTTTCTACCCACTGGCCTGTGATCTACATTTGGCATCATTGCATGTGTTTTGCGAGTCTGAAGAGGACTTTAAAGATTGGTATCGGACATATGGGCTAATATAGGACTTATGGACTTGATCTGGACTGGGCTGGGATGTTTTCTCAATGTGCAATGGCTCTTGTATATAAATATCTTCCTTATACACGTATGTGTGTCCATGGATTTGCTTCTCAGTCTACCCTGACTGACACAACCCCCAAGAAGCCATTAACCCAGTTACTTTCTCTATAATTTTTCCAACCCTCGGTTTCATTTACAGAAAAACATTAAACCATAGTGATAACAAAGTAAAAGAGAGAAAAGGCTTCATCAAAAGCAAAAAATGTTCAAAGTGAAAACAAAATTAAATGGATCATAAAAGAGATCAAATGATAGGGTGTTATAATTTTAACCTAACGTTATCTGTAACAACCCACTTTCCAGTGCATTCTGTATGATAGCAAGGCTATTCCTATCCCTGGTCCACAGTTACAGGATAGGCTTAATCGACGTGTATTTCTCCTTTGCTTTTTTTTTCTTTTAAAAACTGAAACAGCTTTAAAATGGGTCAAACGTAAAATCAACCAATAAGATAATACATTTTAACCTACCTACGACTGCCTTAACTTCACAAAGCTCCCTGTTTGATAACAAAGATATTCATATCCCTCAATTGTGATCCGAGGAGAGTCACCAGAGGTTGAATCCATGTGGGGAGCCTGCGAATGGATTTTTGGCGTCCACTATTGTCCATAGAGTTCTGCAAACTATGTGTTCAAAATTTAAGCTCTGATAGCATTCTTTCCTTTAGATTTGGATTATATTATTTACACTGGCTGGTGTGCGTCTTCCATGGGAACTTCGTTGACATCTCACTTAGATGGCTGCTTGCTTGAAAACAAGCCTTTAAGACCCCAGAGGCTGTTCTTTCGACAGCCGGACTTCATCTAGTTTCTTCACCACACTGCTATAGCCCCAGATCTTCAGTGATCCCTTCACCAAACAGGGCCATGTCATAAGAAGTAATTGGGGCTAGGATTAAATGCAAGCTCCAACTGTTTCATGTATCTGTGGTTTATAGACACCTCTGGCTTATCTTAGAGACAGAATTGTCGTGTTGTAGAGAACATTATCAATGTTCTCTATCCTGAGGCATCACTTCCACTGCCATCACGTTCACGCTGACTCCTAACAACTCCGTAGGGCAGGGTAGAACGGCCTCTGTGAGTCTCTGAGCCTGCAGACCTTCACAGGAGTGGAAAGCCTCACCATTCCCCTGCCTGCTGACCTTGCAGTGAGCAACCCCATGCGTGAGCTGGGCTCACTGATGGTGTCATCAGTTTAGCCTGAGGTGTAGAATTTAAAACACTGTTGCGAAAAGGAAATTATGCAAGTGTAGACTAGCTGTGGAAAGCAATACACAAGTTGTTGACTTGTGCAGATTAAACTCTGAAGTGACTGGACACTATTTAAATGACCAATGGGAACTGATGATAGGGCAAATCTTCCCATATTCATTCACAACACCAGAGCCATGCCTACCAGATTAATGTGCATCATAATAAAACAAGGAGGACATTTAAATCGTAAGTAAACCATCTTTGTTGAAGAGCATTCAACACAGTTGTAGCAGGCCAGGACAGGGAGCGGCCCAAAATTCAAGTTGAATGTAGACGAGGAGTAGGCATGGGAGATGTTTTTGTTGAAGTCAGGTAAATCTTGGCTGAATGTAGAGAACACCAGAAAGACTTTTCCTTGTATCTCATTGACTAGGCAAAAGCATTCTACTCTGTGACTTGTCACAAACTATGGGTAGCATTGAGTAGAATGGGAATTCCAGCACACTTCACAGGCTCATGTGGAACATGCATGTGGACCAAGTGGCAGTTGTTTCGACAGAAAAAGGGAATAATACATTTTTAAAAATCAAGGCGTGTATCATGGTTGTATCCTTTCACCATTATTATTTCATCTATATGGTGAGCAAAAAATCTAAGAAGTTGGATTATATGAAGGAGAAGGTAGCATCCAGATGAGAGGAAGACTTTTTATCAGCTCGGAATATGCAGATATCACATGGCTCTTGCTTGTTGAAGAGAACTTGAAGGACTTGCTGATGAGTTCAAGACAGCAGTATAGCTGGCTAATAACTCTTTGTAAGGAAAATCTCTATCCTAACGACCTCACCAGTAGGTAACATTATGATAAGCAGAGAAAAGATTGAAGTTGTCAAGGGTTCCATTGTGCGTAGATCCACACCAGTCAAGACAACAGTCAGTTGTCGGTAGGAGGGGTACTATGCCAGGCCAGGTGGACTAGAGAAACCAATCCAGTAACACTCACATGTGTAGTAGAGAGAACTTTATATCATGAATTAATGATACATTAAGCAAACAGCCCATCCCAGTTCAGAGCAAGTCCATAAGTCCAAACTAGTCCATCAATCCCTCTTCAGATTCACGAAGCCGCATGCAACGATGCAGAATGCAGGCACATCACTGGCTGGTGGATCTTGTGGATCCAATGGTGATGGAAGCATCACAGGGCTCTGGCAGGTCTCAAAGTGGCCCACCAGCCGAAGGTAACGGCAGAGAGAAAGGGAAGGTTTCCAAGATCCTTCTTATGAGACCACACCCATAAGGAGGTACCATTGGGCTGTGACCTACTGAAAGGCTAGGCTCCACCCTACACTTCTGTATATCCAGTTGACATGAAATTATTAACTACCACAGATACCAATTTGCATTGGGCAAGTATGCCAAACAAGATCCCTTTGAAGTGTTGGAGAACACACATTTCACTCTGAGCACTAAGATGTGTCTGACCCAAGCCATGGTATTTTCATCCACCTCATGTGCATGTGAATGCAAAGGAAGACTAAAGAACTAATGCATTTGAATTAGGGTGGTGGTAAAGAGGACTGAAAGTATGTCAGATTTCCAGAAGGACACACAAATCTATCTTGCAATAAGTATAGCTAGAATGCTCCTTAAAATGAGAATGAGAAAGCTTTGCTCAAACATTTCATATAAGATGCCCAGGAGAGACCAGTATCTGGAGAAAAGGCATCGTGCTCACTAGCGTGGAGGGCAAGCGTCAGAGAGGAAGCTCCTGATGAGAGGGAGTGGCCCCGTGGCTGCAACCACAGACCCAAACAACCACTGTGACATGGCGCGGCAGCGTTTTGTTCTCTTGTGCGTGGGCTCACTATGAGTTGGAAGCCACTCAAGGACACTGAACAACAACAATCACAATGTTGTGTGAGTCTGCTGGCCAACAGTGGGTCTCAAGGGGGTCTTGAACCATTCTGACTTTGTCATCAGTTTTGAAGGAAGGCTTGCTGGTGTGGAACGCCAGCACGGACTACAAAAGGCTTGGTTAGCACACTGTACGCATAGGGTCTGACAGCTTTCTAGTGCCTATTGTTCCGGAAATGAAATCTACCATTGTTCTTATCTTCACTTTTTCTGGCTAGACTTTGTGTGTGTACATTTACATATTTATTCGTTTATTTAAACCCTCTCTGTCCCTAGTCTGATGAGGGTGTTATCCCTCTGGCGTCCCCATTGGATGCTCTCGGTGTTCACTGTGGACTCTCTCTTTTGGCTGGAAGCAGAGAGTTTATCTGTTGATAATATTCTGCTCGTCCTTTGCCTTGTCTTGTGCAGGTCCCCTGCACACGTGCGTGAATCTTAATGTTCACTCACAGACTCAACACAAGCCCTGTGTAAATTTTTAGCATCATCTCCCCTTAAATCTTCTCTTATGCTCTGCTCTACAGATTCTAGCCGCCATACCTTCCGGAAGTCTGATCTCTTTGTCCCCCAACACAGCGAGCCCCCTGCTTGTGGTCCTGCTCCAGGAACTACTGTCCAGACAGGCTTTCAGGCAGGAACCTGAGGTCCCCCAAGGGCTTATCTTCCTTCCTTCCTTCCTTCCTTCCTTCCTTCCTTCCTTCCTTCCTTCCTTCCTTCCTTCC